ACTCAGGTCAAGCACCACGTCTACAATGCTGTACAAGTAAATGTCTAAGTGGGATTTGAACCCAGACCTACCTGCCTCCAAAGCTTCTGTACTGCCTGCTACACTACACTAGATTCTGAAATAGCTGGGAGCTACAGAACTAGATCGCGTTAATTCTCCACTTAGCAATAAACATACAGATGAGTATTCCATACGTCTGCTGGAAGTAGTCAATGCCCGAATCCCTCATGTTAAGACTAACATGAAACTGAAAATCAGGAAGAGGCTGGCCTTGAAGGACGCCACGGATTCACCCCAGGCACACAGGTAGAAAGCTTCACGATGGCTTCGAGAACCTGCAATCTCAAGTCGGAGGCAGTCCCAGCAGTAGACGTGGTCTGAGGCCACAGCAGGTCCACATTCGCTTTACTGTATGATGGCAACCAGGGCAGGATTCGTGCTGCAGGGTGCAGGTGACAGAGGGTGGTTCCCATTTATCCCAGCACCGTCTCTTCATCCCAGTCACTCAGCCAGCGCAGAAAGGGGAGTAAAGGCTGCTGCCACCTCTCCCAGTCTTCAGAAAGTGGCTCAAGGTGGAACTCCAGTTCTATGTGTGGCCTTTGGGTGGCTCAGCCGCCACGTGACATTCACAGTGCCAGGAAAGCCAGGATCTTTACCAATATTATTGTTTTTTTTTAAAAATCAAATGTCTCCTTTATTTATAAACTTCCCATTAATTCCTGAAACAATTCTTACAGGACCTATTTAAAGATTGTTTTGTCCAGAAAAGTATGTCTCAACTTGCTTATATGCATCCCTCTGGTTTTGGTGAGTCATTTCCTCAAAGGAAAATTGTAGGGAATTGTCAGGGGGGAGAAAACTGGAGTGGTGGATGTTTGTGCAAAAAGTCCAAATTATGATTAGAAAGGAAATACAAACCAAGGATGAACTCCCTGAAATTCAGCAAGTTCTGTTCATAGGACTAAAATCAACTAAACAGCTGCCCCGGCTGGCGTAGCTCAGTGGATTGAACGTAGGCTGAGAACCAGGTATCGCAGTTTCGATTCCCAGTCAGGGCACATTCCTGGGTTGCAGGCCACGGCCCCCAGCAACAGCACATTGATGTTTTCCTCTTTCTTTCTCCCTCCCTTCCCTCTCTAAAAAAATAAATAAATAAAATCTTTTAAAAAGTCAACTAAATAGCTTTCAACCTTCCCAGCTTTTGTGTTTTCTTTAAATTCTCTTCTCCCCTTTTTCTTTAGATTGCACAAGAGCCAGTTTCTAATTAGAATGTGAAGCAGCAGTGTAAACAGTATGAGTGAGTCCGGGAAGGAAGGGAAGGCTCCATCCAGTATTTGTTTTTCCCGTGGAGGGCTGGAGGGAGCTTACGAGAGAGGGCTTCAGCTCTGCAGATAACCAATTTCTATGAGCCCAGGTGCTGCCAGAGCAGCTGCCCCCCAGTTCCAAGGCAGCAGTGAAAGGCAGTTTGTGTCATCCATGGAGGATGACAATAAAGGGATGTATGTCCAAGGAATATACAGAACCCAAGGCACAGTGAGCAGAGAGTAAATAATCAATAGTGGTGGTGATACCTAGAAATACACACGTGACACCAAAGAAACAGATACAGGTTATTTATGTATATGAGTGCACACACGCACACACACTCTTAAATCAGGGACTAAGAAAATACATTCAGTCAATGCCTCATACAAGGTCTGTCTGGAAAAAGTCCAGCCATCGTTAATATAATGAGAACAGTTTACGTGACATCGATGTGACCTGGCAGCCAAGGAGAGTGGACTGAAATGCGCATGCATGAACAATGACGACTTCACTGTACTAGTCCGTGGGGGCAGTAGACACTGAGTATGTGCACTGTGTGGCTGTCACATTCAAAATAACTGAGTGAATAGAGCAACAAATCTGCATCAAATCTTGCGTTCAGCCTGAACATTCCTCTGTGGAAACTATTCGGATGACTCAGAAGGCTGCCGCTATGGGCAACTGGTGGCTGGCAGCTTCATCACGACAATGCGCCTGCTCATGCGTTACTACTTGTGCAGTTTTCTGGTGAAACATCAAATGACCCAGGTGACTCAGCACCCCCTACAGCTGAGATTTGGTGCCCTGAGACTTCTGGCTTTTCCCAGAAAGGGAAAGGGATTTCAGACCATTGATGAGATTTGGGAAAATACGATGGAGTGGATTATGGTGATTGGGAGAACTGTGGGAGGTCCCAAGGTGCTACTTTGAAGGGGACTGAGGAGTCACTGTCCTATGTACAGTGTTTCTTATATCTTCTTCAATAAATGTCTCTCTTTTTCATAGTACATGGCTGGATACATTCTAGACAGGCCTTGTATGTATTTATCTATATATACACACACACAAACACATATTTGTGAATTGTTTTCTGTACTTTGAAAATATACATATTATTTTCTTTTTAAAAAAGATTTTATTTACTTATTTTGAGAGAGACAGGAATGGAGGGAAAAAGAGAAGGAGAGAAACATCAATATGTGAGTGATACACCCAATGGTTGCCTCTCTTATGCTCCCAACTGGGGACCTGGCCTGCAACCTGGGCATGTGCCCTGACCAGAAATCAAACCACAATCTTTCAGTTCACAGGCTGGCCCTTAATCCACTGAGCCACACCAGCCAGGGCTACATATTATTTTCTTTTTAAGCCACACAAAACAGTTTGTGTACTCTTATAGGCCTTCTAGCTTCCTGGAGGAATTTACTTTTAATCGACCTTAGTTTTTGGCATCTCTTAGAATCCTAGAACAGAAAGAGACCTTGGAGATTATTGAAGGTAACACCTTTTCCATTACTGGGGTAACCGTGAATTGCACAGGCAACACACCTTGATAATGGCAGCTCTAGGCCACCGAAGTCTCTCCTAAGGTTCAGAGGACAGGCACGTAAGAACAGAATCCCAAAATACAGGAAGCAGAACTGACGGAACTCAGCAGTAATAGCTGGGGACTCCAATACCCCGTTTCAGTAATGAATAGAACCAGACAGATGATCCACAAGGGAACAGAGGCTGGATGACACCATATATTCTCTAGACCTTAGAAGAGTATCTGTAGAACATTCTACACAAAAACAGCAGAATACACCTTCCTTTCAAGTGCACATGGAACTACGTCTATGATACACCCCATTTTAGGCCATAAAATAATTCTCAAAAAACTTAAAAGGGTTTCAGTCAGAGAAAATGTGTTTGGTGACCCCAACAGAATGGAGTTAAAAGTCAAAAATAGGACAAAATTTGGAGGATTCACATCTGTTCTGGATCTTAATTCTTTGTAAGACATATCACTTGCAAATATTTACTCCCATTCTGTGGGTGGCGCTTTAACTCAATAATGTCTTTTTTTTTTTAAGATTTTATTGATTTATTTTTAGAGAGGGAAGGGAGGGAGAAAGAGAGAAAGAGAAACATCAATGTGCGGTTGCTGGGGGCCCATGGCTTACAACCCAGGCATGTACCCTGACTGGGAATCGAACCTGTGACGCCTTGGTTCACAGCCCACACTCAATCCACTGAGCTATGCCAGCCAGGGCTCAATAATGTCTTTTGATCCACACAATATTTTCTCTTTCATAAAGTCCAATTTATGTTTTTTTTTCTTTTGTTACCCAAGAAATCACTGCTAAGTCCCAAAGTCATGCAGATTTTGCCCTATGTTTTCTTATAAGTTTTAGATTTTACAGTTAGGTCATAGATCTATTTTGAGTTAATTTTTGTGTATCATCTTAGGTAAGGGTCCAGTTTCTCAGTACCATTTATTGAAAAGAATGTTTGCTCTTTGCCCCACTGAATGCTCTTGGCACGCTTGTCAATATTCACTGACCAAATATGCAAGGGTTTATGTCTGGACTCTCTGTTGTATTCTATTAGTCTATGTTTGTTTTTATGGCAGTACCACACTGTTTTGATTACTGTAGCTTTGTAGTAAGTTTTTTAAAAAGATTTTACTTATTTAAAAATAAAGAGAGGAGAAGAGAGGGAGAAACAGAAGGAGAGAAACATTGGTCGGTTGCCTCTCCTATGCGTCCCAACTGGGAACCAGCCCCACAACCCAGACATGTGCCTGGACTGAAGACCTTTCTCTTTTTTTGATGGCACCCAACCAATGGAGCCGCATGGGTCAGGGTGCTTTGCAGTAAGTTTTAAACACTGGAAATGTTGTTCTTTTTCAGGATCGTTTTTGGCTATTAGGGATTCCTTAAAAATCCCTAATATGAGTTTTAGGAAGTTTTAATCAAAGCTGCTAGTTAGGCAGATCAAATAAAAGGCATCCAGACCAGCGAGGAAAAAGTAAAACTATCTCATTGACAGATGACGTGATCTTGTATATGAAAAATCCTAAAGAACCCTCTAAAAAAATTAGAACAAGCAAATGAGTTGAGCAACGCTGCAGGAGTCCAGGGGAGACAGGTCCAGTGTGTATGACACCCCCAAAACTGGGCAGCACCAGAGACACTGAGTGAGGCCAGCAGAGCAGAATATGGGACGGGCAAGGTGTAGTTTTGCCCCCAACACACTGTCAGCTTTAATTACAGACACACGTGGGGACTGTTCTGCCCATTTGTATGTGCCAGTTTTCTAATTAAATAACACATTTTAAAATAAGTAAGACAAGATATTTATTGGCAATTAACCACTGATGAGAAGAGTTGTCTTTTATTTGGTGTCAAGGACTAGAGGACATAAAGTTGTTATTATTATGACTAAGGTGTGTTCAACTGAATAAAGAATGCCTTTTGTAATTACTGTTCTGTGAATTAAAGTTAGTAAAGCTACCCATGGGCTTTCAACACCATTACTAGAACTCAACTGTGTCATTACCAAAATAGTATTAACAATGGATTGCCCATCCAATTATCAAACAAATGGAACATGAAAAATTAGTGTGGAAGGACACCCTGATTGCACAAGTAGGATCTGAAAACGACCTCACCTGCAATTTCCTCATGGCATCAGGAACTGCTGGGACTCACCTGGGCATTTCACAGCAGACTGGATAGTGTCTTTCTAGAAGAACTGGTATGATTGCCTGAAGATAAATCACCTGGCAAGAGTAAGGAAAAGATATGAAAGCTAGATAACATATTAAGAACTTCTAGAAGTCTTAACTAAAGAAATATGTGTATGTGTAATCAAACTGTTTGTCAATCTCCACAACCGTGCCGGAGTCAAATTCTTTTTCCTTCTCTTTAGAATGTGAAAATCCACATTCCCTTAGACTCCCACTTATGTAATCATTTTGGGTGTCTTTTGAAATATGTTATGCATATCCAAGGAATCGTATATGTGTATTAGACATACACTGCCCCCAAACCTGGTGTTTTGCACTTAATAGTACATCTTGGAAAGCAGCTCATATCAGCACAAAGAACTTCCTCTTTTTCTTGACTGCTGGTATAGTATCACACGTATGGGGAATTGCATGTACAGTCAGCCCTCCATATCCACAGGTTCTGCACCTGCAGATTCAACCAAGGATTAAAAATACTTGGGGAAAAAAAAGCTATGTTGGCAGGCCTACGGTGGCTGCATCTATACTGACTGAACATGGACATTTTTCTCTTGTGATTATTCCTTAAACAATACAGTACATCGACTATTTACATTGCATTGTATTAGGTATCATAAGTAATCTAGAGATTCAAGTATACAGGAGGATCATATAGGCTATGAGCAAATACTGCACCATTTTATATGAGGCACCTGATACTCAGCATCCAAAGTGGTCCCAGGACCAGTGAGGTTACTGAGGGCTGACTGGACCATAATCTATTGGTTTGTGAGATTTATACCCCTGGTATGAATCTCTAAAAGGTATGGACTTAAAAGAAAAAAAGTACAACCACAATACTATTATTACACTAAAGATATGAACAATAAAACAATGGTTAAAATAAAAAAAAAGAAAAATTTAAAAAAAAGAAAAAAAGAAATAGAAGAAATAGACAATACTTTCTTCATACTGCCACATAGCCAAACAATATTTGAATTATCTGTCAGTTTTTTCAAAAAACTTTGAACATATGAATCCATCAAAAGGTCAGTACATTGCAATTGGCCGATAGGTCGTTTAAGCATCTTTTAATCTATACGGTTCCTCTTTTCTTGTTTCCCCCACTGCATTTTATTTATTAAAGAACCTAGAGGCTCCCACCGTCAGGATCTTGCTGGTGCACTTCTGCTGCGTAGTTGAACATCCTCCCCTGCTCTGTGGGTTTCCTAGTCCTATATATTAGCAGGTGGATCCAGGGTTTTGACCGGATTTGGGGTCTGTACGTGCGTTTTACTGTGAGTGCACTATGGCTGTCTCTCTCTTCGTAACTTCAGTCTTTTTTTTTTTCCATAGAGAAGTGGTAACTCATTTCGCAACAAAATGTTTCCTCCCTCCGGAAGAGGCTGCGCTTCAGATGACTTCTGCAACAGATGTCAAGTGGGGCAATCATCTGGTACGACAAATGGTCACACTAGAATTATTGAGGCAAGAGGGCGCATTCCTCATCATTTTCCCCTCACATTTCTGCCACACACTCCGCTTTTTTTCCTGAGGCATTATTTCCAGGAGGCAGCCTTTTGAGGCTCAATGAAGCATTTGCTTTTCACCATTAAAACTTGGGGCGTTGCCACTTCGTCACTTATTAATGACCAAGGATCCTCGTGGCCGAGCACCGGCCTTCTCCAAAGCGCTAAAGCGGAGCACGATTTCCTTCCTTATCCACCTTTTTCCCGGGCTCCGGCGCGGGTACGGGCGCGGGCAAGGGCGCGGGGCGGCACAGGCCGGAGGGGCCGGGACTCGCAGAAGCTCGGCTTCCCACCGGGTGGCGGAGCCACAGAAGTCAGAACGTCGCGTCACCAGCCGGGGAACCCCGGACCCGCGCAGGGGCCCACGAGCGTCGCGCACGCCGCTCACGCTCCGTTGGGCGGAAGGGGGCGGGGCCACGAGGCGGGGCGGGGCCTCGAGACTCCGCCCTGTCCCTCGTCAGCTTTCCACCGCCAGCAGCCCGCTGATACCAGCCGGCTGTTCCCGACGCCGCCGCCGCCTCTCCGTTCTAGGAGCCGGGCCGGGAGCGGGTCCGCGAACCGCCGCTGCCATGGGGAACCGCGTTTCGCGGGAAGACTTCGAGTGGGTCTACACCGACGAGCCCCACGCCAGTCGGCGCAAGGAGATCCTGGGTGAGGACCGAGCCTGCTCCCCGTTATGTGCCTGCGCGGCCTCCCGCCTCCCGGGCGCGCTCTGCCCGCGTAGGCCCTGCGCGCCCCCGGGCGCCCCAGGCCGGTTACGAGCTGGCTCTCTCCTCCTCCCACCGCCGCCTGCCCGCCCCGGGATGGACGGCGAGGGCTCGGGCCGGGGCCGGGGGGCGGCGGGGAGGTTCCGGCGCGATTGCCCTGCCGCGTGGATGCCGCCCTTCCTCCAGGAGGCTCAGGCATCTGGTTGAGACGAAGGGGTCCGATCCTCCTTCTAGGCAACCCTTGGGTGGATCCTCTCATTTTGCAGTTCCCGTGCCCCGGTGGGCGCCGTTTCTGCCTGCGCCTCCTCCCCACATTGGGCCGCGGCGAAGCTAGGCTGCGCGCGTGTGCGGGGCAGGGCGTAGCCCCGGAACCTCGGGGGTCCACGCGCCCGCCATCAAGGCTAGGGCGGCGGCCGCCCTGTCTCCGGGGAGGGCCTGGGACCCGACCGGTGCGACCCCTGGGGCTTCACGGATGCGACGCGTCCTGTGCGCCGACGCCTGTTTTCTCTTTGACCCTCACAACTCACCCGAGGCACAGGAAGGGCAAGATTCACAGGTATTTTCCATCCATCCTGGTTCTGTGCAGGGGAAGACTGAAGTATGGAAGACGTGCCAAAATTAGCCTCCTGGTCCCCAGTTTGCTAATTTAGGGCCCTTTACTCCAAGAAAACGAGGCCTAGTCAATTCTCCAGAGGTGTAAGGCGCTCAGCTATTTGGAGCTTTTATATTATATTGAGAATTCGCTTCTCTCACTCGGGCTTCATGATACGCCAGGCACTGTGTTTCATCAGCATCACCCAGACTAATCTTTCCAATAATTAGTCGGAGTGAATAGGTAAATGTTAGGGGCATTCCAGTCTGGGTTAGACTTCCTCCAAACCAAATGCTTTTAACTTTTTTATTTATTACTTAAAACATAAGGAAACTAAAGGGGGGGTTGAATTACAGGAATTTTTGCTCATACCTGGTATTTCATCCCTAGTTTTCCTTCTTGGCATCTGTTTGTCCATTGAGAACAAAGAGCAAGCCCCTGATTTTTGCCGAGGAATCTAAAGTTAGGAATTTCATGTTTTTACAGAAAGGAGTTAGTGGACCCCTTTGAAATGAATTTTCAAAATCATGAAATTGGGAGCTTGAACCTTTACAGTGGCTATTAAAGGTAGCCTTTTAAGAGACTTTGGTTCTTGAATGCTTTCTTTTTATTTTTAATTAAGGCGTATTTTGCAAACCACACATAAGAGATACGCCTTATCAACATGTTGCCTAAGAATAATGAGGTGCCCACCCTGTGAAAACCAACTCCTGAATACTGGTTATTAGCTGTTTAATATTCAGAAAATCAAGGAAGTAAAAAGGTGCTTATTGGTGCTTATCTCCACACGGCCTTTTTTCCCCACACACTTATCACTGAACCATTTCACTTCAAAAGTTAAAGTGACTCCGTATTTCTCAATGAAAATGTATTTGATTATCTTCCCATCAGGGGTAAATACTGCTCGGTGTTCCATTTCAGGGGTGGAGTATCAGCAAAGATAAGGATCTGGAGATCTGTTTACATTAAACGTACCTGTTAAGAGATATTTCTGAAATGTGCCAGGTTTTGGGGGGAGAGAAGCATGAAGGAGCATCAGTAGGTTGTTGAACAACCAGCGTCTGAACACTAAATGTACATTTAGAGTTACATTAAATAAAGCAACATTAAAAGGCATCTACGTGAAATTATGAGGGTTTGGGATTAGACTATTACTTGTGGGTCGAATCCTAAATCACAGGAAGTGCTCCTTTTTCAGCTTTACTTCCGTGGGGAAATAGTATTTTTTTAACAGCTTTAAGATATAATTCACAGACTATAAAATGCACCCATGTAAAGTGTACAATTCAGTGTTTTAGTATACTCGATGTTCTCTAATGATCATTTCAGTCTAATTTTGAGGACTTCACTGCCACCCCCAAAGAAACCCTACACTCATTAGCAGGCCCTGGCCCCCACTTTCAACCCCCAGTGCTATCTAGACAACCACTAATCTCCTTTCTGTGTCTATAGATTCGCTCGTTCTGGACACCTCTTAAAAATGAAACCATGCAATACTTGGTCTTTTGTGACTGGCTGCTTTCCCCCAGCACACTGTTTCCGAGGTTCATTCGTGCTGCAGCGTGTATAAGTACTCCATTTTTTGGCGGCTGAATAGTATTCTACTGAACGGCTGTACCCCACTTCATTCATCCATTCATCATTCAGTAGGCTTTTGGGTCGTTTTCCCCTTTTGACTATTATGAACAGTGCTGCTGTGAACGTCCCCATCACAAGTTACTGTCCAGACGAATGTGTTTATTTCTGGAAGGTAGCTACCTGCCTGGGGGTGGAATTGCCACTAACTTGAACGTGTTGAGGAACCAGCTGCGCCATTTTAGATTGTTACCAGCTCTGCGGTGCATCGTTCCAGTTCCCCCACATCCTCGTTGTTGCCGCTCTTTGGTGTGACATACACAGCCTTTGCGGTGGGTGTGCAGCGGCACCTCATTTTGGTTTCAGTTTGTGTTTTCCTAATGACTGGCGATGTCCAGTATCTCGCATGTGTCACCACTTACTGGCCAGTTGTGTATCTGCTTTGGGAAAATGTCCGGATTCTCTGTCCATTTTCAATTGGATTAGTAATTGTGAGACTCTTAAGAGTTCTCTATATATTCTAGATACAAGTCACTTACAAAGCAGATGATTTGCAAACATTTCCTCCTGTTCTGTGGGCTGTCTTTTCACTCTACTGGTGGTGTCATCTGCAACACAGAAGTTTTTGAGGCAGTCCAGTTTACGAGTTGTTTTCTTTTGTCCTTACTTATGCTTTTGGTATCATCTTTACAAAAATTTACTTTTTTCTTTCAAAAAATTTTTCTGTTGCAGTTGATGTTGAATATTATATTAGTTTCAGGTGGACACCATAGCAGTTAGACATTTACATAACTTTGTTCTGTTATGAGTTTTATAGTTCCCTTTTATTTAGGCCTGTGTTCATTATTGTGTGTGGTGTAAGGAAGAGATCCGACTTTATTATTTTGCATGCGGATAACCAGTTGTTCCAGCACTGTTTTTGAAGAGCGTATTCACTCCCCACTTACTTATGTTGGCACCCTTGTGGTATTGATTTTTATATATTATACTTTGCAAACATTTGGTACAGGATTACTTGGAGCAAGTTGATTTGACTGTCTGAGAGAAGAGTTATATAAGTTTCATGATTTTATTTTTTTAATTATATTTTACTGATAATACTATTACAGTTGTCCTGATTTTTCCCCTTTTGTCCCTCTCCACTGAGCTCCCCCACTCCCATGGGCAGTCCCCCCACCATTGTTCATGTCCCTGGGTCACAGGTATAAGCTCCATTTCCTATACTGGACTTTACATCCCCAGGGCTATTCTGTAACTACCTATTTGTACTTCTTAATCCCCTCACCTCTTCACCCATTTCCCTACACCCCCTTCCATCTGGCAGCCATCAAACCACTCTCTGTATCCATAATCCTGTGTTCTTGTTTGTTTAGTTTGTTCTTTAGACTCGATGGTTGATAGATACGTTTGTGGGGTTTTTTTGCCATTTTATTGTTCACAGTTTTCATCTTCCTTTTCTTAAATAAGTCCCTTTAACATTTCATATAATTGTTTGGTAATGATGAACTTCTTTAGTGTTTTCTTATCGGGGAAGCTCTTTACTTACCCTTTGATTCTAAATGATAGCTTTGCTGGGTAGAACAATCTTGGCTGTAGGTCCCTGCTTTTCATGACTTTGAATATTTCTTGCTAATCCCCTCTAGCCTGCAAAGTTTATTTTGAGGAATCAGCTGAAAGTCTTATGGGAACTCCGTTGTAGGTTAACTAACTTCTCTTGCTGCATTTAAGATTCTCTCTTTATCTTTAACCTTTGGCATTTTACTTATGATGTGCCTTGGAGTGGGCCTCTTTGAACTCATCTTGCTTGGGACTCTGTGCTTCCTGGACTTGCATATCTACTTCCTTCACCAAATTAGGGAAGTTTTCTTTCACTATTTTTTCAAATAGATTTTAATTTCTTGCTCTTTTCTCCTTCTGGCACCCCTATGATCTGAATGTTGGACCTCTTGAAGTTGCCCCAGGGGCTGCTCATACTATCCTTATTTTTTTTTTTAATTCTTTTTTATTCTTATTATTCTGACTGGGTTTTTTTGGTTCCTTATGTCTGAATCATTGATTTGATTCTTGGCTTCATCCACTCTACTGTTGTTTCCCTGTAAATTGTTCTTTATTTCAGTTCATGTATCCTTTGTTTCTGACTCGATCTTTTTTATGCTGTTGAGGCCCTCACTAAGTTCCTTGAGCATCCTTGTAACCAGTGTTTTGAACTCTGCATCTGATAAATTGCTTATCTCCACTTCGTTTAGCTCTTTTTTTGGAGTCTTGATCTGTTCTTTCATTTGGGCCATGTTTCTTTCTCTCCTCATTTTGGCAGCCTCCCTGCATTTGATTCTATGTTTTAGGTAGAGCTGCTTTGACTCCGTGTCTTGGTAGTGTGGCCTAATGTAGTAGGTGTCCTGTAGGGTCCAGTGGCACAGCCTCCCTATCATCCAAGCTAAAATACTCAAGGGTCACCCTTCGTGTGGGCTGAGTACACCTTCCTTGTGTAGCTGAGTCTTGGTTGCTGTTGGCAGACCGAGGGGAGGGATTTACCCAGGCCAGCCAGCTACAGGGACTGGCTTTGACCACTGACCACCCACCTCCGCCTTCCGTGGAGGTTCAGCTGTGCAGGGGCTGGGTGGTGGTGCTGTGATGTGGTCTGTAGCCGTTCACTGAGTTTGCTGGTCCTGGGGTTTCCTAGGTGGTGCAGGCCAAGGTCAGTTCCCACCTGTGTTTTGTCTGGAGCACCCTGCCTGAGCTATAAAGCAATCTGAGATGGTGCTACTTGTGCTGGGCTTGGAGATTCCAGGCAAAGCCAAGCTGTGAATCTAGGCTGGCTGCTGCTGGTGCTGGGCCTAGGGCTCACTAAGGCCAGCTGTTGCTTGTTTGAGAGGATTTAGGAAGTTGTGAAGCATGAGCCAAGTCTAGCCATTCATATGGAAATGCAGCTTGGGTGGGCTCATAAGTTGGGTGGGGCGGAGTCTCTGGGGATCTCCAAGTTGCTAGACTTCCATTCAACTCCATTTCTGACGGTTCTGAATGATTGCTCCCTATTTTAGTTGTAATTTTGATGTGATTGTGCAAAAAGGTGAGCCGTGTCTGCCTATGCCACCATCTTGACTGGAAGGCGAGGTTTCATGATTTTAGAGTGCCTACAAAATGTCTGTTGTTTTCTATCGTTTTGTCAATTTAATCGTCTTATATAAGGTAAAAATTCTGGAGCTCTGTCTAAATAGAGATAACACATTTTAGTACGAAAGAATTATTACTTGTACACCAATAGACTGAAGTTGTTATTCTGCTCTTGGTGAATTGCTTCTAAAATGTTTATATTTTAACGAATGGCTTATTTGAACCCTTCACTTACGCCAGGGAAATTAGTTTAGTTCACTTCTAGGCCTCTAAGATTTCTTTTTTTTTTTATTGCCTGCAAAATTATTAACATAAGATGAATTAATACCAACAAAGATTGGAGATTAGAGATTGGAGACAGAAAGGGTAAAGAAACTAGAGGAGTTACTCACTTTGAACTTTAAACACTACCTTTATTTCTTTATATAACATTGGACTTAAGTTTAACTTCCTGTGTTGCATTTTAAGCTTTTATTGAATTCTTCATTTCACTAGATAGAAGAGGATGAAGCTATTCTTTTCCCTTCTTTATCTTTTCAAGAACATTCTGAATGACTTGTCCCAAGAAAAAGGTCCTCCTTCAGAACTTTTGCCTTCCTGGGCCCAACACGGGTGACAGCACATGTAAAACCAAGGACATTCTCTCTGGGTGGTAGGGTCCAGGGAAGAACCTGCCGTTACCCTTAGTTTAACTGTGTAAATCTTAAAAGCTTTATAAAGAATTGTTATGGGTGAAAGATCAAGGTAAAGGAGTTCATCATCACCAAGCCCTTATTATGTGAAATGTTAAAGGGATTTATCTAAGAAAAATATAAAAAATATGAAGAGTAAAATGACAGCAAACTCACAATTATTAACAACCACACCTAAAACAAAAACCAAGTTAACATGGAGAGTCTACATTTGAGGCTGATATTTTCCTACATAAGTTCTCAGTTTGTTGTGATACGGTATTTAATAATCTTGCTATTAATATTAGGGGGCTGGAAAGAAGTATTCAAAGTCATGAAAGGCAAACACCTACAAAGCTATCATTTAGAATGGAAGGGCAGATAAAGTGCTTCCCAGATAAGGTCAAGTTAAAAGAATTCATCATCACCAAGCCCTTATTATATGAAATGATAAAGGGACTTATCTAAGGAAAAGAAGATAAAAAATACGAACAGTAAAATGACAACAAACTCACAGTTATTAACAACTGAAACTAAAACAAAAACAAACTAAGCAGACAACTAGAACAGGAACAGAATCACAGAAAGGCAGATCAAATGGAGGGTTATCAGAGGGGGAATGGGAAGGGGAGGGGGGGAAGTACAGAGAATAAGTAGCATAAATGATAGGTAGAAAATAGGGGGAGGGTAAGAATAGTATAGGAAATGTAGAAGTCAAAGAACTTATATGTACAACCCATGGACATGAACTAAAGGGGGGAATGCGGGTGGGAGGGGGTGTGCAGGGCAAAGGAGAATAAAGGGGGAGAAATGAGACAACTATAATAGCATAATTAATAAAATATATTAAAAAATAAAATAAACAAGGTTGCTATTAGACTCTACTCTTGGAGGAGATAAAGTCTCATAGAGGGCATGTAATGATTTGGAAAAGATTAATGTGTTAACAACACATTTAACTGATGTCGATTTAATTATAATTGTAGAACTGTGTACTTTTCCCGGTTCCTGATTTTGTTTGTTTTCTTTACAGCCAAGTATCCGGAGATAAAATCCCTGATGAAGCCGGACCCCAACCTGATATGGATTGTCGTCATGATGGTCCTCACCCAGCTGGTCGCACTCTACCTAGTCAAGGACTTGGACTGGAAATGGGTCCTGTTTTGGGCGTATGCCTTCGGCAGCTGCCTTAACCACTCGATGACTCTGGCCATTCATGAGTTGTCCCACAACAGCGCCTTTGGCCACTACAAAGCCATGTGGAACCGCTGGTTTGGAATATTTGCTAACCTCCCTATTGGCGTTCCCTACTCCATTTCCTTCAAGAGGTATCACATGGACCACCATCGCTACCTCGGAGGTGACGGCATCGACGTGGACATCCCCACTGATTTTGAAGGCTGGTTCTTCTGCACCACTTTCAGGAAGTTCATATGGGTCGTTCTTCAGCCTCTCTTCTACGCTTTCCGGCCTCTGTTCATCAACCCCAAACCAGTTACTCACCTGGAAATTATCAACACTCTGGTCCAGCTCACCTTTGACGTGATCGTTTACTACGTTTTGGGAATTAAATCCTTAGTCTACATGTTGGCAGCATCCTTGCTTGGTCTAGGTTTGCATCCGATTTCTGGACATTTTATAGCTGAACATTACATGTTCCTAAAGGGGCACGAAACCTACTCGTATTACGGGCCTCTGAACCTGCTCACCTTCAACGTGGGCTACCACAACGAGCACCACGACTTCCCCAACATTCCCGGGAAGAGCCTCCCGCTGGTGAGTGAGGGGTGCGCCACATCCCCGGCTTTCTGGGGGCTGTGTGGTGGGGGTTGGCCTCGACTTGCCTATTTTAAGAGGGATCTAGTCTATCTTGTGAGCCTCTCCTCAAAGAAAACAAGAGTGTCGGCCCCGAGTCTGCCAGCCTCGTGCGCAGAGTTCGCTCCCGGGTCCCAGAGCTGAGCAGCAGCAACACGTAGGGTTTAGAAGGGAGGGGGTCTGCAGCCCGCCAGCTTGTGAAGCGGTCCAGGGGTGGAGGAGGAGACCCCTCCGTGAGGCTGGCCGCGGTCCCCCCACCTTCGTCACTGCGAGGCCGCGGGGGCCGGGCTGAGACGTGGGTGTGGGGGGGTGGGTGTGGTGGGAGCCGGCGGACGCCCGCAGCCCCGCGTGCACAGCCGCGTGCACAGCCGGGGAGCGCGGTTTCCTGTGCCGCCGGCGTCCCGCGGGCGGGGGCCTCTGTCTCCCGCGTTCAGTGTGTCGGTTGTGGAGGAAATGGAAGGACTTAGACCCTCGTCCTTCCATCTCCTCCAGAAGGACCACCTTCCTACCTTCGCGTATCTTTCTGGTGAATTCTCTTACTAGACTTCATCCTCCAAATGGGTAGTTTTCACGGTTCCAGTATCAAAATGTTTCCATAATTCTGAGGATGTATGGAGGAAACGTAATAATAGCTTTTCCTGATTTTTTAAAAAGCGGATATAAGGGGATCATAGCCAGATAGTTTATGCTATCATCTCCATCTAATCAGTTTCATAGGTTTCCTCCCAAGTTTGTAAATGTTGACTGTTCAAAAATCTAACATCTGGTTATTGATGTGGTTCCTGATTGAGGAGAGAAACACCCAGAGAGGACATTGGGTCAGTAGGGCACCTCTGAGTCTGACCGTGCACTGGAGAACGTGTCGTGTTAAGTTTCTCCGGGCCGGTGACAGCACCGTGACCGTGGGAGGGCGGCCCTGTCCTCGGGAGGTGCAGGTTGGTTGTGCAGGGGCGAAACCCTGGGGCGAGCCGTCACACGGGGCCTGCCGCTCGCCCTCCAAGGGTCCGGCAGACAAAGCCAGGTGCGCGGTTCCCACCAGACCCGGAGACGGACTGTGACAGTAACTGTGCTCATTAGGGGTGGGCCTGTGAGGGGCACGTGGGTGTGTGCCCCGTGGCCCCTTCAGCTTTCCGGCAGGTTCTCCGTTTCCCAGGTAAAACGGGGAGGCGCACCCCACGGCTGTGTGAGGGCACGCCGCTCTGCACCTGCCCGTGTGCTGCTGGCCTGCGCAGAGCTGGTGGCCGCTGCCTCCTCCCTAACTGGGGAAGCGCATTCTTATTTACTTTTTAAAAGGCTGTGGAGAAAGCTGGTTGCCCTTGAACAAGACAGTCTTTTCTGCCGTAAAACCACATACTTGTCATTTTCTTGAACGACCCCAAACTGAAAACTCGGTTTGGTTCAGTGTTATTTGACTTTAGACCCCTGGGTCATCGGCGTGTCTTCATCCCCCTCCGATTCACGCCGCCCCCGCAGTCCTCAGCTGAGCTAACGCAACCTCCTCAGGCTTCTCCGGCCTCCTGTCTCCGGCTTTTCCCGTCAAGGAGTACATACCAAGGAGCTCTGTCAAGAATGATCTTGTTCTCTTTTTTCCCTTTTTCGGAAAGACAGTGTCCCCTACCTATTCTAGCTGTTCACATGCACTGATCACTACTGGCTTTGCTACAGTTCAGCGTGGACCTGGGTCCAGGTGAATTGTATGTGTGTGGTCTGTCGGTCATCCTTCGTCCTGAGGGACCTCCGGGACGTCTTGAAGGGCTGTGGCCCCAAGGTGTCACGTCGCTCTCCTTCTTCTGAGCGACTGAGAATACGTAGAAAGCTCTGTGTGACTCATTGTCCTTGAGAGTGGTACATTCCTCGGGTTCTCCACAACCAGAAAACATTACATTTCCCAAATCGAAGGAGGAATTTAAATGTCGACATTGTTCCTTTCTTTCCTGCTGTCTCTTTTCACCTTCTTGGATTCTGCTCTTTTGTCTTCCTTTGCGATTCCCTAAGGCAGTTTTTTGTATGTTTCTGTGAAGCCTCAGAACCACTGTCATCACTCAGCGCTAATTAGTTGTGCTTCCTGGCCACACGCGCAGTGGTCATTTTTAAAAGACATTTTCAACTTGGGATGGAGAATTTGCGCACTTGATAGATGCTTAATTTCTTTTTCTTTTTTTTTTAAAGATTTTACTATCTATTTTTAGAGAGGGGGAGAGTGGGGAGAAAAAGAGGGACACATCAGTCTGTGGTTGCTTCTCCCACACCCTCAACTGGGAACCTGGCCCGCAACCCAGGCATGTGCCCTGACCGGGAATTGAACTGGTGACCTTTCAGTTCACAGGCCAGCACTCCATCCACTGAGCCACAGCAGCCAGGGCAGATGCTTCGTTTCTATAATCTACCAGTATTTGCAGGTTCCTTGATGGCAGGGGTCAGCTGTTACTTTTGTGTCTTACAATGCCAGCCATGCAGCATGTGCTTGGAAAATGACAAGTATCTGTTGTGAAAGGTTCCAAGAATCAGAGTGTATTTGTAGTCCCTCAGAACTTGATAGGAAAGTGTCAGCATTCCCAGGGGGTCGAATGCAAGCTGCTTTTTAGAAAAATGCAGCTGCCTCACCGATGACTTGGCTGGAGAGGTGAGGAGGAGGAAAGGTCCGCCGGTTTCTCGGTGTCTGCGTCCAGCACTTGTCCGTGCCCTTCGTGGGACGCGGCGAACCCCTCCCCTCACGCTCCTTGTGTTCTCCCTTCCAGGTGAGGAAGATAGCGGCCGAGTACTATGACAACCTGCCCCACTACAACTCCTGGATCAAAGTCCTGTACGACTTCGTGATGGACGACACCATCAGTCCCTACTCGAGAGTGAAGAGGCACCAGAAAGGCAAGGTGGAACTGGACTAAACGTCGTCACGACCAGAGGAATTCCTCTCTGAAACCTCACAGTAGCCGACAAGGTGGAATTGTGGCGTCACTCAGCGAAGACCAGTGGTGGTTAGAAGCCGCCTTCACTCGGTCCCCCAGTGCGAGCCCCCGCGGCACCGGGGAGCCTGCCCGACTGGCCACGGCCAGCGCGTCCGTGTGTGCTCCTCCTTCCTCGCGGGGACGTGGCCGCCGTGCCGTCGCTGTCCGGGGGGCTGTCTCACATCTTGTAAGCATATCATTCAAAAAGCTTGTACAAAGCTACTTCTCCTGTATTATTTTCACTATAAAGTACTTTATTAAAACAGCTAATAACCTGAGTAATTAATCAAAATAAATAGTATTTATCACATTTTTGTACTTTACTGTCTTTATATTAAATGCTAGTCAGGATGCTGGGTGAGCTTTAAAATTTCACCAGAAAAAGGAAGAAAATGCCTGGAAATGTCTTTCACTGCAAGCTGAATTACTCATTTCTAGTTTTCACTCTTGTGTGTGGGACCTGACGTAGACAGACACTGCCGAATCCTGCATGGCCTTACCAATAAAGTCCTTTGTGGATCCAACGTGTCCAGCATCCGACTCCTTTTTCAGGTGAGAAGCAGCCCCAGGACTGACCGAGACTCGTGTGTCGTTTCAGCGCAGTGGAAACTGCCTGTGGTCCGACGGCGGGCAGCCGGGTCCAGGTGGCCAGCGTCCTGGCTGGCAGGCCGGCAGGCCTGGGTACCTGCAGTGTCACTTTGGCAAATTCAGTGTAATGTGAACTGTTTGCAAAAAAAAAAAAGTCTACACAACACCAGCCCTCAGACATCCTTCACAGGAGCGGTTACCAAGTCCCGTCCTGGTCCTTACAGCTGAGGGGAGCGTAGAGCCCTCGTCCTCGGACGGACCGGCAGACCTGCTCGGCAGACCTGATCACCTCGGAGGACTCTCCCCTCCCTTCCTGCTCCGCCCGCCCGGGGAACTCCCTGGTATCTGGGAACTATTGCTTAAAGAAACCATTGCTGTAAAGCGATGGTAGCACCACGTTTACGAGAGAACCGACGTTCCGATTCAGACACACAGGGCCCGTCAGGAAGAAAGGTCTGGGAGGGGTCCCGTGGATTCGGTGTCAGGCGGGAAGGGACTGTGTGTCCCCACCAGGCCCTGCCTGGGGGGCTCGAGCCAGTGCCTACTGCTGCCAGGCAGACACTGACCCTCCGTCTCCTGGCGACCCAGCTCTCGGAACCCCCCTCATGACCTGTGGGGTGCACGGAGCGGACATGCCCAGGTACGCCCCACTTCCGGCCTGGACAGAGGTGCCAGCCTGCTGGCCCATCATCTCCTGATCGGCCCAGCTCCCTCCCGTCTGCCAATTCAATGCATCCCTTTGGCCACTACTGCGGGCCATGACTTTTTCAGAGAGAGACGCAGGAGTCTCAGGGCAGGGAGCAGGCTGGGCGCAGAGTCTCCAAAGCACCGGTGTTCATCCTGAGGAATCACCTGGTGGCTCTGCGGGAATTGTCCCTTCTGCCCAGATGGCCCTCCCACTGTCTGTGGTCTGAGAAGCTCATCCTCGGAGCCTCACTCCCAGGCCCTGCCCACCTCATTCAGAGCGTAACCCGAGTGTGGTAGTCTGAGAAGCGGGCATGCGTCGAGTATCCTTCTACTCACCACCTTTTGAACATGCGTCCTGCTCAACACGTGTGCACAGTACTACTGATGCCCCCATTCAGTGGATGAGAAGACTGAGGCTTACACTAAGTAACTGGCCCAAGGCCACATCTAGTGAACTGCAGAGACAGGACCTGAAATTCAGACCTTGTGGCTCCGGAACCAAACTCTTAACCGTGCCCTCGGCTTGTCTAACAAGGCCGCTCCGGGACGGGAGGGGAGAGAGAAGCCCCCAACACACTCCTGTTGCTAAGCATGTGTTTGTCCCACGGCCTTGAGGGCTGCTTCCCACGTGTCAGTGGTCGTGGCTAGATCTCCGGGTTTCTTTCACTTTTAACAATCTAAACTTTTTTTTTAAAAGAGCTCTGCTTCTTCCTGAATGCATTACAGAAGACCTGTGCTAGCAGACCCCTCTTCTTTCTTCGCTCCACTCCCCTCGGCCAGGGCGGCAGTAGGGGAGGGGCTGGCGAGGCTCTGCTGGGGTTGGCCAGGACCTTGCCACTGCTGCTTTAATGATGGTCTGCCCTCCTGTGGCGTGACTGTCGCCCCATCGTCATGCAGGATGAGACAGGCCACGGGGTGGGCGAGGGCGAGTCCCGGGCGGGTAGCAGGGTGTGGTGAGCGAGAAAGGAGGCGAGGGCCTCACCCCAACTCGGCCTCAGCACCTCAGCATCTCAGCAGAAGCGGAGGGAAGGACCTGCTGGGAAACCATGGTGAAATCTAGAGCCGAAGTGCATTTATGCCTTCATTCTGCAGGTGCTTTGCAGGAACCACCTTAGGCGGGGAGGACACAGAGGTGAGACGTGATCCCATGTCACGGAGCTGGTGCTGCGGGGCTGGGATGTGCATGGAATCAGTTCGGCAGAAGAACTCGACGCCTAAAACAGGAGAGTCACGACGGGCTGGAACCGAGAGGAGGGCACACGGCAACCACCCCTGACCGACCAGCTGTCAGACTGCAGCGGACTGGTTTTATGCACAGTTTATCACCTTCCTCCGAGCTGGCTTGCTGAAGCAGGCACCAGCGAGCCCCCACGCTTTTGCAGGACAGTGGGAGATGCTACAGAAGGTACCCTGCGGGCGCACCCTGAGGGGCTGAACCCGGCTCTGCCACAGCCTGCGTTCCTTCTGCCATTCCACCGCCCCGCCGACTTGGAAGGTGTCTGGACAAGATGATGCAGCTTCTTGTCTCATTGAGCAATGTCTCCCAGAGGCTTTAGGGCTGGGAAGGCCCTGAAAAAACTCCCCTCCAAAACCAAGGGCACTAAGCCCCTGAGATCCCCTTTCCTGGCAGATTCGATTCTGAGACAGTGCTGGGATGGGCGAGGCACCTGGCGCAGGAGGTGGAAAGGGGTGTGGTGACACCAGGGAGAGTCCCCGAGGGGACGAGGGGATGAGGAGCAGGACCTGACAGCAGAGGGGTATGTAGGTCAGATCAGGCTGCAGGTGCTTCTTGGCTGGAAAACTAATGACAAGGCGGAGGCAAAGGAAGAATGGGAGAGTCATCTGGAAACGGGCGGCTCTGATTTCGCAGAGCGGAGTTGGAACTGGCAGGCGGCTCGCGGAGTGAACATGGACCCAGCCCAGGGGAAGCTGTCGGACGGGTCTCAGACTCTGGCCCATCACTGCCACGCAGGAGGGAGCTGCAGCCGCAGGCCTGTATGGCAACACGCGAGACTAAAGCGAGGGGTCGAGGACAGTGTCCGGTGGGGGCGGGGTTCTCTGCCACCAGGCAGCATAGGGAACGTGAACACTCAGGACCCCTTCTCAGATCTGGGCATATTCCTAGAATCTTCTTCTAAGGGCAGAAACCAGAGGCACAAGCAGCTTGCTCACAGAGTCGACTGGTTACGTGCTGGGAGGCACACATCTCTATTTGTGACCCTCGGGAGTGACACAGAATGGGAGCTTTGGGGAAAAGACCGGGGAGCTGAGCTGCCCTCTGGTGGGGTCCTCCCAGCAGCCGCCGATCCAAGGAGGGCCTCCGGAGCCACCCTGCCAGCAGGTCCCTGTCAGAGGCTGCTGGGACAGGCCCTCGGCAGGGTCCAGTAAGAACCAGAGCAACCTTTCATTTGTCAGCAAGGGAAGGGACTCACCATTGCCTGATTAATTTTTTTAAGGGAAGTTATTTTCATTTTAATTTTTATCCTCACCAAAGGACATGCTCATTAATCTTCGGGGAAGGGAGGGGGGAAGAGAAGGACAGAAAGCGGTATGAGAGAGAAACGTCGATTGGCTGCCTCTTGTACGCGGGTGCGAAACCCACAACTTAGGTTCGTGCCCTGACCAGGAATCGAACCAGTGACTTTTTGGAATATGGGACGATGCTGCAACCACCTGAGCCACACTGGCCAGGGCTGTCCAGTCCATGCATTTCTTAAAAAGGATTTACAAAGAATTTTTTTTTTTAATTCAGAGCTCTCTTCCCAATTCATGTAACACATGAAGTTTTCAGAAGATAACACCCGGGCCGTCACCGGCCCAGGAACCTGGGCCTTGAGCCCGGTGCCGGGTCCCAGTGGGATGGGGGTTGGGGTGGGGGGGAGCAAGCCTGTGACCTACTCCAGCTAGTTCCACACTGACTGGTCTGTGACACACGCCAGGGGAGGCCCGAGCAGAAGCCTGCAGCTCACATCTATGACCAGAGGTTTCTCAGAAACGGTTGGTCTCCCAGACAACAGCACCCTGTAAAGCCTGGTTTAGGTCGTGCAATCGCCACTCCAGGAGACGCAGCAGACACAACCCGGGCCCAGTCCGCCCAGGAGAGCGGAAGGTGCACATCCCAGATGCGTAGAGCTGCTCAAACCATTGACCCCTTCTCCTCCGGCCGACCTTGGGCTGTAAGCCCCAGCTGCCAGGGCCCAGGACAGAGCACTGTGGGCTGTGAGGGGAGCGCTGGGAAGCAGCCCCCCCACCTCCCCACCCCTGCTCCGTCAGGAGGAAGTCACATCACCGCCAGCCATCACAGAGCAGCAAAGGGGCAGAAAAACAGGATCTCAAGTGCCGCCAGCGCTTGCAGTGAATGAGGCAACCTCACTCAGCTGGTTTCCTCATTCGTCACCCTCCACCCTCCGGCTGTGGGGGTGGCGTGTGGAGACCCTGGGTGAGGGGTGCAGTCACTGCCGGGTTGCAAAGCCTCGGGCTTCGGGTGGCGATGGTTACTACCGCCACTGGGCACAGCAAGGTGTGGGGATCGGTCACTTAGGACAAAGGCTATGTCGTAAAACAAAAGGGGATGTCACAATCATTCCAAACCACAGCACTTCATGCTCGCTGCCCAAACAAGGGTCTGAGTTTTCTCATTTAGAATTAGCCCTGGCTGGTGTAGCTCAGCAGACAGAGCACGGGGTGCAGACCAAAGGGTCGCCAGTTTGAATCCCAGTCAGGGCACATGCCTGGGTTGCAGGCCAGGTCCCCAGTGGGGGCCCTGTGAGAGGCAACCACACATTGTGTTTCTCTCCCTCTCTCCTTCCCTCCCTTCCCATCTCTCTATAAATAAATAAATAAATAAAACCTTTAAAAGTTTTTAGAATCAAAACAAAATTGTGGTCAAGTACACATAACAAAATGTAGCATCTTAACTACTTTTCCCGGCACGGTTCAGCAGGGTCACGTCCATTCATGCTGCACAGCCAACCCCCCAGAGCCTCTCGTCTCCGGGACCGGAAGTCCGCTGCCCCGCCCCCAACCACTTTCCGT